ATTCAATAGAATAGTACTGATTTGTTTTCCAGTATCAGGTGAATGAAAAATGAACGTGTACACGGAGTAATCTCGAAGGGAAAAAGGAGAACTTCAGCCCACATTTCAGGCCAGCCCTGCGAAGTTGCGAACCGCGGTCTCGGCTTTCATTCTACTCCCTAAACGACATCGTTTATTATTTTAATGACGTCATTAGTGGAATTTAAATAAACTTGTCTGCAAGCTACTTCGTCCTCCCCGGCGAGAGTTTTATTCGTCCTCGTCGCCGACGTTTGGCGACTCGCACTACATTTACACTGCCATTAGTGTCTTATTTTTCGTGAAATATCGCGCGATGACGTTCGCTAATTCCGCGGAACTCCGCTTCGTATACGAAACATTTCATAAATGCCGTGAATCTTCCGACAAAAATTGTTTGGAATCACGTGGAAATATTGTCAGCATTACTTTCGCTCAAATAAAAAAGAAAATACGAATGTCGGAAAAAATAAGATCTATTAAAATTAAAATATAACGGTTAAAGAATGTAAATAAATATTTAAAACCGTTGTTGAACCTTGGATTAATCAAAATTTAATGAATTATGCAAAATTAAATTTCCTTGGAGGCATTGCAGAGATATTTTTATTGACACTGATCAATTTACGACGAAATAATATTGAAATACATCGAACGACTTTTCACGTCAACGTTCGTACCGAACTTGCAAACTATCTGCGTCTTTGTGACACACGAAACGCCGGCAGAGAGTGGAGGGCTCCCTTCAGAGAGTGTTAAAAGTGCTACAGTGGCACAAAGAGGGATACTCCCTTCAGCAAGTATCAAAAGCATCGCGACATGGAGGTCTTCACGGATACCAGGGTGAAGCACAAAGAACCAATTTTTAAGATTCCGTGCAGCGTGCCTTTCCTACGATTTAGTGCCACTTTTCTGTCGCCTCCATGGATTCACATTGCCACATTAATAATAATTTTTGATGCTTCAATTTTTTTGTTAGACTTTGTAAGTCTGATATCTAGAATTGTATAAACAGTTATTTCTTCTTGCCAGTAGCTTTTATCAATACTCTTTATTAACATTATTTATTTGTAACCTATCCATACTAACTCAGAAAATAACAATTACGTTTACTAATAATTTGTTCATCTTCTTTTCCTTTAATTTCCAAATAGACGTTTCAATAATAATATTTTCATTTATTCCTTATAAATTGCTCTCTAAGTTCCTGTAAACTGATCTCAAAGCTCAAACATCCTGAAGCTCCCAAAAACACCTATAAACATCCACAAACACTTTCAAACATTTCATCCATTCCATTACTAAAATCCTTCCAAGCTACACGATCTACATAAATATTTTATTTTCTACATACTTAACACTTCAGTGCAAATTCTTCTACTCTAATATACAATGTTATATTAACACTATTTCTACCAAAGGTATCGACATCCACCTTTCGAAATTTGAACTTAAAATTATCTTCCAAGATTAGTCGTACATTCTGAATTGTCTTTTCGACTTCTCCAATAACGATTATAGAATTAACTACAGGAAATGTCCAAAATTCAATCGAGGAAATCCGATTAGACTTAGAAAACAATTTTAAGTTAAGATTTCAAAACGCGTTCTTTGACACCTTCGGCGGAAATAGTATTAAAAACATTTTCCAATTTAAATGCAACCACAAAAAAAAAATAAAAATGCTTCATTTCTGATTACACAGAAAAGTCTGGTCAGCCAGGAAGCCGTTTACTTTACGATTTATAAGATTAAGTCGGGGAACACCGTATATTAGAATTAACATGGCTTAACAGCGGCGAGCGTCGAATCACCGCGAAATATCACGGCCTTCGGCGTACGCTTCGCCTTATATTCCGCCGTCGACGTCTGACGAGCACGGAATCGCTAACTCGCCTTTTGAAAACGAGCCATGTGCGCAAGTTCAACGGAAGCGAGACAATGGGCACAGGGCGGAAAAGAAAGAGCGCCGTCGTCGTCGGGCCTACGCGTCATTTTTATATTGTTCCTCGAAAACAACCCCCGAGCCACGGCCTAGAAAACCGTACCGTTCCCGCGGCGACTTCGACATTTATTATCGCTCTTTATTATCCGCGAGCCTCGCTCACTTTTATTAACCTCCCCCGTCTAATCTGGTAATCCCATTCGAAACTTCGGGACCAGCCGCGGTGCTGCCCTCTGCACGCCGATCTGCTCGAGCAGTGCTGCCAACGCCGATCTGCTCGAGCAGTGCTGCCAACGCCGACTTCAGGAAAAGTCCCTAGCTTCTTTGTGAATTATTACTGGGCTACGGATACACGGAGTGTGATTTTGCTGGACTGTTTTACGTAAAACAGAATAAGGGAATAAATGATTTGGTTGATTTACACTAGATTTGCGGAGCCAATTTGACTTATACTGACTTTTATAAATATTATTTAGTGAACTTTTAGGTCGATTTTTATTGGTGCAAATATGCGAATATATAACCTAATTGTGTACTTTTGAACCACTAATTTCGAAGATCTAAATGAACGAATATCAATTTCTGTGAAAGCGATAGAATAAACTGTATAGTAACTATCCGTAAATCTAGTGTGAAATTCCCTATAGTGGAAATAAGATCTATTGATTAAACTGACACTTTGTTATAGTAAACATAAAGTGGAAACATTGTTATAGAATTGAGTGTTCTTGTATTTGAAATATTCTATCGTCCACTGTTCTTAACTAACCACATTAATTTATGAAAAAATAATATACAATCCTATTAAAGTCGAAAATAAAATTCCACTAACAATAACGTGTCGATCAAAATTGTATATTGCGGATCAATACCACTGTGTCAGTCGCCTTAAAATAAAAATCTTCAGGTTTATGAATCATCGTTTCTGTCGTAATAAAAATGAGACAAGGAAACCTAGCAAATTCCAATATCTCTTTTTCAATTTTCCTCAACGGAGAAGTATATTTCCGTTGAACTCCGACGGTTATCATTTGCACAATGAAGAAACTAAAAATAAATTCCGGGCGATTCAGAGTTCCAATAATCATCGGAAACTCTAGGAAATCGGAATAAGTATTTCCACGGCAGAACCGATCGTTTCCCGATTCGAAATTCCGTGAAATAAAAAAAAAATGTTATTTTCCTTTTTCTCCCTGCCCTTGTTTCAATATCCTCGCCCAGTAGTCGGACGGGAAATACGAAATTTTCGGCGAGCCCGTCGCATGGAAATCGAAAACGTTGAACGGGTATCGGCTCGTTGTAAATCAATATCGAGATACGGAGCGGAACAGTCGGCTTTTATCATATATATTTGTCACCCGTCCGCCCACAAATATCCGGCAGCTTGCCATTATTTTCTATACTATCGGTGATACCGGATCGACGAAATAAACGCGAGTATCTTGCCATCGAGGCTCCCGTTGTCGTCCCGCAATCGATTGTCGTTTTCGACGTTCCGATCCACCCTCCTGACATCAACTGCACCGTAACTTCGCACACGTGCGTGTAAAGCGAGCGTGAACTTGCAAACAATCATGGAGAACTTTGCAACAATAACTAACTTCTAGACAGACCGGTTTTACGGCTGGCCTTTGGAGTATCGTGACTTATTCGAGATACAGTGACTGACAATTTTTGTTTGTTGAGGTAGAGGCTTCTATTTATAGGTTTCTGACGGATGAAGTTATTGATAGTTTATAGTGGTTGTGCGAGAAGGTTGGTGATTTGGTTTTAACACTAAATTTACTGGCATTTACTGTACAGTTTGTTTTATTGTTCTTAGAATAATTGTTGTCCGTTCATTTAGATCTTAGAAATTAGAGGTCTAAGAGTAGACAATTAGGGTACATATTTGTATAACTGCGTTGATAAAAATCGACCCTAACATTTACCAAATAATGCTTATAAAATTCAATATGAGTCAAACTGACTCGTTCCGTAAACCTAGTGTTAATGAGTTTCGAAGGAAGTTGTGAAATTCAGAAGATTTTTGTTAATAGATCTTTTTTATAGATTGACGACTGTGTTGTATAAACTGGTTAATGATAACTGATTGAATTACTCGAGTTAATTTTGTTGATAGATTTCTGAGTGACTGTCTTATAGGGAAAATAATTTAATATTGTTTTGAGTAATAGAGCCAAAAGAAATTATTATGGAGATTTCTGTTTATAAATTTTTAATGGATTAACAGTCTTTCCAAGTTTCTAATGTAAGTAGGAACCTGATCATTTCGTTTCTTAGAATAATAATTCCTGAGAAAATTATTAGATTAATAGTTGATTCATATTATTAACAGTAATTAATATTGATATGTTTTTAAACCCCATAACATCCGATTCCTTTCGCAACAGCGCTAGCCAGAATGAATTTAATTATATTAATAAAATTTTACAATCAATTAAAATGGTCAACAACCACTGGTTCTGAAAAAAGTAATCAGTGCCTGTTTACAGTAGAATGACCCTGTAGTTGCCAGACAGTCTTCAACGTTCAGACGTCTCTTCACGAATACATTATAGTTACAGCTGCAGTGAGTCTAAGCGAATTACGCAAAACTTCAAAACCTCTAATAAATGCCGTCATCCAATAACAGGATAGACAATAAATAAAACTGGTTTAAAAAATATTTACATTAACATCACTCATAATAAAGGAAACAAGAACTTCTATTCAACTCCACTTCTCGCAGACTAACCCCTTAAGATATAAAATCTACTACTCCTCAAATTAAACATTTCAAATAAAAAATTAAAAACGTCAAATATAAATCGCGACTTCAACAAATCCACCGTTATAACTTATATATGTAATAAAAATATACAATAATTTCAGTCGTCCATAGTCCAAGCATTAAGTAGCAATCCTAAGATCAGCTTCAAGCTTGATCCCACACCTGGTCCAGGCTGAATCCCCTATCTAGTCCGCACTGGGCTGAAGTATACCACTGCAGCTGTACCGGGCATGCAAGATTAGAAGAACCAGTAACGGTACTCACTTTTCTGCGGCCGCAGCAGAGCATGGCTGCTGCGCTGCAGCTGCGGCGAGCCGTCGACGAGAGTTGAGGCTGATGACAGACGTAGCTGAGTCGTGCGCCCCCTTCCCGCTGCAGCTGCACCCCGCGCACCTGCAGCTGCACCACGCGCGCCTGCAGCTGCACCTGCTCCCGCTCCCGCTGCCCTTGACCGACACCGACTCGACCACCGTACTTGATGCGCACGTGTTTTCGCCACTGCATGAGTTCGGTGCGTCATGCCCTCTTCCTGAAATCAATCCATCGGTCACTAGGGAACAACCGGCGAACAGGCTAGGAGACCTAGTTCCTAAGTGCCAGTCCACATTCAGGCGGAATGTGCTGTCATTGGTGATGGCTGTCAGGAGATAGGCTGATAAATATAGGTAACCCAGGCCTAATTCTTCTATAGTGACTCTCTGCGAGACAGGCTGCTTGATGATCGACACTAACTGACGTTATTAATCAGAAGATGTACATATATGGTTTCATTTCCAAGTGTTAGTTTCCAATGAAATATGAAGGACACTCATTGGCAAGATGTAGCGGTAGGGAAGCTGATAAAGATAGGTAACCCGAACCTAGTTTTTCTATAGTGACTCTCTGTGAGACAGGTTACTTGATGGTAGACTTCAACTGGTGTCATTAATTAGGAGATATACATACATGGTTTAATTTCCAAGTGTTAGTTTCCAATGAAATATGAAGGACACTGATTGGCAAGATGTAGCAGCAGGAGAGCTGATAAAGATAGGTAACCTGAACCTAGTTTTTCTATAGTGACTCTCTGTGAGACAGACTGCTTGGCAATAGACACTAACTGGTGCCTTTAATTAACAGATGTATATGATGTTAAACGTTCAATTTTTAAGTGTTAGATCCTGATGAAACATAAAAGTCAGTGACTGGTAGTAAGCGGTAGCAAAATCTATATTAAGCATAACAAACTGCTTGGTAATGGGCACCAATTTGCGTCATTAATCAGGACAAATCTATGGTGAACATGGCTGAAAGTTTAATTTTTAAATGATAGTCCCTAGTGGGACACGATAGACATTGACTGACAGTAAGTAGCAACAGGCTGATTGATAAAGACCTAATTCCTATCTACTGATTCTTTATAAGCTAAAATATTGGGTGGTAGGCACCAGTAGACGTCAGCAATGATAAAAGATCCAGTTACCAAATCTTAATTTATTCATAAAAATCCACTGTGAACCTAACAAAAAACTAATTTGCAAATTCTACTTCATCGGTACAAGTTCGTTATGCGTATAACTCATGTAAGAGAACTAATTCCTAAATTCCAATTGATAAAAAGAAACCTATCACGAACCCAATAAGAACTAAGTAATTCAACTTGATCTAATAAATTCCTTCCCATGTAACAATTCCAAATATCCGCCGTTAAATTCAGAGTATTCCCCTGCAGTCGCTTTTTACCGAATACCTCTGCACCACAATGACGAACATCCTCTAAACCCCGATCAATTCTACAACGGCATTTACATGCTCCAAGCTATGCAGAGTCTATTCGGGTTACATGTCTACACGGGTCACATTCGACCCGGCCTTCGGTCGACGCGGTTTAAGTGCAATCAACAGCGAGTAACGTCTCGCTAAAAGGGTTCCCAGGGTGTTGCCGTTCGGCTAATGCACTTTGTTGCCGTAGTGGCTCGTAGTCACAAATTTTTGTCGGGATTAAGGATGCCAGAAGTTGCTTCCCTTCGGGAAAGGAGGACGATCGATACGTACCAGGGGTAGAATCCGCCGGTTCACAGTGTTCTCAGCGCACGCCGAACGTCTCGGCCAACACCGATAGCGGCTGAAACCAGCTACGCTACACGGTCTACACGCCAACTAGCCGAGCAACAATTTTCCGCGTCATCAAACGTAACAACAGAACTTCACTTCATTCGTCGACAAACTTTGGCATTCACCTTCAAACCACGTCAAACATCCCTTAAACACTTATCTCGGTCATTTTTCTTCTCACTGAATATTCGTCAGACAATCTATATTTTTCATGTAATATATTACATCGTACATTAAATATTATAGTAGAATAAAATATTGAAATGAACAAATATTACGATATACTTCAAACGAATAAAATATATCAATTGTATATATTTGTATTATATTTCATTAGATATATTATAAAACTTTTAATATAATATAACGTTAATAATAATATTAATAATAGTAAATATTAAATTAACAAATAATTTATTTCAATTTTCTAACACTGCACAAAACATTTACAACTATGTATTTGAAAATTCGCAACAAAATATGTGATTCAGAATGAAATTAGAGACATATAACAGGAAAATTGTTATGTTTCGAGTTCGATCAAGGCACTTTTTGTTGAAAAGCGATTGTTCGTGGATCGCGACGCATGTCGTCTGCTGTCTACGACGGCCGAGGGTTGACTGACCGAAATCAAGCGTCTTTTTACTATCACCCCTCGGATCGCTCCACCCTCAAGGTTGCCTTCCCAGAAAACCCCTCTCCCTGGTTTCTTGCTCCCCTGATCACGTGTCCTAACTTTTGTTTGTGTATACGGCTATTACTCACGAGAACTGCGACGCAGGAATTCTTCCGCCTCGATAAACGTAATTGCGGACTGGTCTACGAAACTGTACCTGACTATTTTCTTACCTACCAACCCCATATTTTTTTTTATGTGTGCCCCAATAATAGGAACATGTTACCTTTACTAAATAGACTCGGGCAAAGGGTAATCAGTTTAATGGATCATGGATTCTTATGTGAGATTCTTTTGTATAGCTTATAGAAACTCGAACAAGTTAGAAGTTACGTAATTTGACAATAATTTGAATATATACTGCGAGAATGATATTGAATGAATATTTTTATTTTAATTTGTTCATCATGGAAGGTAACTTGTTATTTATGTTACCGTTCAGTTTTTAATAATTATATCTCAACAAATCATTTTTGCGATTTATTGAATCAATATTTACAGTAATATGAATTTTAATGTATATATTGATTGCTATTACGCTTCCGTGAAGCGTTTCTGCTTGAAATAAGCTTCATTATTTAATCAGTTATAGAATTATTGATGCAGTAACTATAATATTACTGGAATCAATTAAAAATTAATTAATAAAATTAAATTAAGAGATCCTCGTATTCGAATTGTTATAGCTATGCAGACAAAATATCATGAAAATTGCACAAATTTAGATAGTTTTATGAAGGTGAATATTTTTGTTCCAGACTAAAGTTATAATAAATATAAAGACTGAATTTTCCGTTTTATAACGACCTGTTAAAACTTAATGCATGATTTCTTTTTCGTCTACAATGTATAGAAAGATTCTACGAAATGTAGAACACTGCCCCTGGGCGCAGCTCACCGAAATAAAATAAAATCATTAGGGGATTCAGAGATGAATCTCTCTAGCCCATTAATAAATTAATATGCAGCCGTATCGTCTGGGAAATTAAAATAGCAGGTTGGTTCAATCTGCTCCTCGCTAACCGAATATGTGAGAAAATTATCCAGTTACATTTGATTAACGTTCTTAACAATAGAAAATACTGGGTCAAGATTTCTTGTTTGTCTCAAAGTTATGAGTATTCATTGAAGACACGAAATCTTTGTGAAAGATAAATTGAGAAATTGTATTTTCTTTTAAAATGATATTATTTTACACGTGAAACTGTTTATAGAATTTTAGAGTAAAATACTGTTTAAATAAGCTTTCCGTAATTTAGATAGAAAGTGTTGGTAGCGAAGTTGAAAGCACACTGAGGTGTCTGGGTCCATCTTGACCCCTCTTTTCAATGGCTTCGGTTAACTACTCGGTCTTTGATGGCTAACTTAAATTGTCCCTAATGTACATTAGGGTTATAACGAAGTGATCGATGCTTCTCGTGGAAGTACTTACAGTCCCTAAGTCACCAAAGGCCTAATTATTCTAAGGAGGATATAAATTTCACAGATATAAATATATAAAACCAGTTTAGAAGAAGAATTGATCTTTATGGAAGATAATGTCTTTAAAAATCCATGAACAATAATAATGCGAATTAGACTCAATGCAATTAAAGAATGATAACACCAATCAGATACAAAAAATAAATACAGGTGTCGAAATTTGAGGGGGGACTTTTTGAGAAAATTACAAGCTTGTACTGGTATATAACTTAGATATTAATCATTAGAATTCCTTTTGTACATCATTACAATAATTGAAATTTATATTTTAAATAATTATGTATGCATAGACCTATGTAGAATTCAAGAAGGAATTTTAATAACTCTTTAATCAATAATTTAAGTTTAACAAATAATATCAAGTAAAACTTAAACAAACTAAAAACGAAACTTTACCGAAAATCATGCTAAAACCACGTCATTCCCTTTAATACTTTCTACAACCCAAACCATCGTCATCATGCTCAAGCCCTAACTTCACAGAGGTCATCAGTGACATCGACTCGAAGCATCACTCCAAGTGTCCTAATCAATCCATCCTAGAACATCACACATTTCCAAGAGAGCGACACCTTAAACCGCTAGGTGGCAATGGCCAAGACCAACCGGAAACGAAACATTCGCGCGAGTGGCCACCTTCGCAGGTAGCTAACCATCGATCGTCCGCGTGGGCCGCGCGCAATAACAGTTGACCTAGGGCCGGCCGGGAGTTATGCGAGGAATCTCATAAGCGACGTCCGTCACGGCCGAATGTCTCGGTCTTCGATTCAATTCGGGGTTTGCTATTCCTACGATAGACATTCTGTGTCAAGCCCGCGTTCTCCTCGTTAAGAATCAATGAAATCCTCGGCCGAGCCGCGCGCCGGCTGTCGTACCCACCCAACCTTGACCTCGCTGACTGATCTTTCCCCCCTAAAAAGGGGGTCTCGACCCCCTACTCCTCGTGCACCGAGACAATTTGTCGGATAATCTCATTCCGCTCGAACTTCCTCGAGCAATTAATGCTCCACGTGACCCAGTTGCTTCGGGATTCTCCTTTGACTTCGTCGAGTGGCTGTGATCACTCGCATGCCAGGATCATCGGCAATTTCCAGGCTGTTATTTCTTGGGACGTTCAGTGTCTTACTGGTTTAAGTCCTTCGAATAAGGAGTTCCTTTTTATAGGAACTTTAAATGTTGGTAAGGGACTGAGGGCTATAGAATTTTGTTTGCCAGGTAGCACATGTGTAAGTATGTTTCAGCCTGGGAGATATTTAGGTTAGGTGAGGGTCACGGTAGGTCTATACTGTGCTTGGTCACTGTGCGTTTGGCTGAGTAGGCTAGGTCTGCGGTTATGGGACGAGATTGTGCATGATTTTGCTCGGGAGATTTAGTGTATCTGCTACGTAGGTGTTTTTGAGATTAGGAGACATTTATGCTAGGCTGAAGCTGGCTATGGGTCATTCTTGGATAGTCTATATTGGGGTAGTTCATATGTTGTTAAATAGATTAAGCTAAGTCTAAAGTTATGAAAGGTTGTATACATCTTTGCCTAGGTCTTAGGATACATACCGTATGAGAATTTTTATGAGTAGAAGACATTTGAGCTAAGTCTAAGCTAGAGAAGGATTATGCTAAATTGATATATGTTGTACTACGTTACATAACGTTATATACATTAGGGTTTATCTGTGATTTAGAAACAAAGATATAGAAACATATACTAATGAGTCTTGGTACACATGCTGCATAGGTATCTCGTAGGTTAGGACACATTTGACCTAAGATTAAGCTAGGTCAAGTTCATATTAGGATAGTCTACATTATATTCTAGGTCACACTGTGTTATATAGATTAGTATATGTCTGTGGTTTCCATAGAATTCTCTATACTTTTGCTAGCGAGTTTCAGCACACATGCCACATAAGTATTTTTGAGGTTAGGAGACATTGAAGCTAGAGCTAAGGTATGTAAAGGTCGTTTGAGGTTTCTTTTCATTGTGCTAGGTCACACCGTGTTAGGCAGATTAGGTTAAGTTTAATTTCAGGTCGGTCATGCTAGGCCCGAATTAGATGAGGGTTGCACTAGGGTTGGGGTATATCAGGTTAGGTCATTTTACGTTGGGTTGGCTTAGGTTTAGGTTAAGTGAGATTGCATTAGATTAAAAATGGGTGCAGCCAGGCTTTGCCTCGCCTTTGCACCACCTTATCCATTTGTTTCTATATTTATATATTCGTTTCTTCGTTCTCCTTTCTTCTTTAATCTAATAAAAAGATTTCTTATTACATCCGAGGAAAATATTTACAGCATATCTTCTGTCTAATTAAGGCACAAGAATAAATACTCCAGTTGTTTTATCTATCAAAAATTAATGGATATCATTGAATAATTTAAATATTCTTTTTGAAGTTTCCTAGCACTATTATATTGTATTATGCCACTGATCATATTACACTATAACACTTCACAGTTTAACCCTTGTCCCTATGATTTATTCAAAGGAATAAAAATTAATTTTATTTAAAGGAACAAATTTTGACGCTTATTCTACATCTACGTTCACGTCAAAGGTTAACGATTACTAATAGAGATATTCAGTTGAACATTTTTGTCACGAGTCTGACATGATATTGCAGGTGAAAGAGTTAAGAATTGTAGTAAAGAATTATGATTACTAATTTGATCTGTATAATATAAACATTATTCATAATGTTTGTAATTGCAGTGCTGGGTTCGCAAGGAAATTATCTGTTTCCTGAATTTAATCAAACTTTCCTCGGAGTTAGAACTGAACGGATGCCATGAAATGCTGTTGCCTCCTAAGTTTCGTGCGCTTTTTTAATCCGCTGTCCTTCCGTTGTTAGTGTACGCTATCCCTAAGCTCCCACAGCTTAATGCAACCTCGTAAACAACGACGCAACACTTCCATAGTAAACGACCAATCGGCCCCTAGCGGTGTTCCCTGCGACGGAACAGCAGGAAAAACGTTCAGGGCAATGATAATGATGCCTGTGCAACGACGGAAAACTAAACTGTTCCTATATTCTCCTGGGAACCCTACAGATTCCGTCCCCAATCTCCCACAGATTCTTCAGGGCCTGACATTGTTTTGTATATTTTCGATTAAAAAGTTTGTTTGTTGTTTAGCAGAGTGTGGTCACTTTAGTCTTACTTAACGGAGACCCGATTTCCTTTCAAACAAACAAGTGTAGAGTTTCGGCTATGACATTTTTAGTTTATTTTCTTTATTCTAATTCTACAAATAATTAATTAACTATCCACTCTTGATTTAAAGTTTAAGGTATCCTTGTATAAATGAAGAATTTTTGTATCAGGATTTTTATTTCAAATTTGCAATCGACTAAGTTAATCATTGATTCTTGACTTTGCACTTGAGTTTAGTTATATCGAACCTATCTCGACACGAATATAATTAAGTTTGTTTTTCATGTTTTTATTATGTTAGGATTTTCATTTGAATCTTGCCATCAGTATCAATAATCAAATTATTATTGTGTTCATAACTAATGGGTAGTTTTGAATAATTAAGTCTAATCTACACCTAGCCTATTTTTGACTAAATAGATGATTAGTGCACTGAATTTTCAATCTGATTGAAACTCATTAATCACATATGCAAACACAATTAATTTTAACATGGTCATAATGATTTTCAGTCGTCTTTATTTCGTTCAATTCCTAAATTGTACAAAATAAAAAGAGATCAATAACTAAAATTATTTATGTCTATCATAAAAGTAGGTTAAAGAGAATATGCACAGAAAGTAGCATTCAACTATACTTCAGACGAAACCTTTAATCTGATTAAGTCATTAAATGTCTTGCATGTCTAGTTACACGTTACGCGAGAAACACTGACTATAAAAGCAAAAATATCACACAGGATATATTACTACATCGATCGTTCAACATTCGCTTCGAGCTCTGCTCAAAAATGCAATGATCAGTATCAAAAGTCGATTATTAACCTATTCAGCCAAAATAACGAGCTTGACTCGCAGTGCGCGAAAATATTTTATTAGCAGCTATATCAAATATTCTCAGTGATAGTATCAAAGGTAATATTTCTTTCATTTTATACTGTTCACCTCGAATTTATTTTAGAGGCTGCACCACCGTGTAAACTAAAAATTATTGATACAATTAAACATTTTTTCTGTAAATAGTTATTAAGTAAGATGGATAGATATTTTTAGGACAGCATATCTTAACTGTACTTTACATCTTAACTTGTACAAATTCATTGCCTTTTATGTTCCAGTAACTTTTTCTAGTTATCCTTTCTAGTTAAAAGAAAACACTGCATAACATCGTTATTTTATAATTTTAAATAATAAAAAATATGGAAGTGAGGTAAGGGTTGCTAAATACCCATAAGAAGATTTCTCCATTTCACTTAATAATTATTTTTGAGAAATGTTTAATTTTAGCAATATTTTTAGGCTTGCATAATGGTGTTCTTGCTTAAGTTATACACAATACAATTTTCTTACTGTATTCGTGCAAGTTAACCCTTTACAATCGAGATGCAACCTGCAGTCGCCATTTACAAGTTTCGTAAAATCATAAAATCCAATATTCAGTATCAAATCTTACATAATACAATTACATTGAAATAGGGCAAGTGTTTCGAAATAAATTACATAAAAATAAAATACATATTTTTAAGTAAACTATATTCAAACAAAGTACCGAAACAGAATAGTTCCATCCCTCGATTTCACTACTACTTTTATATAACAGTCACTAACGTCATCAACACTTCACTACAAAACAATGAATACACATAGCAAAAGAACTGTCGAGTGCAAAGGGTTAAATATCATATCTCGTCCACACAGAGCACAGAACAGATACGGGCTGAACGGTTTGAAAACAAAAATAGCCTCGAGTATTTCGTCCTCGCCGAGAACAATCGAGTACCAACGGAAGATAATTCACGGGAGAACACATCGCATGCAGATAGTTTCGTATTTCCAGAGTAATTTCAAGATATAGGAATTCTCTGGGCACGCTTGAGAGTTGATTGTGCGAGAAGCCACAGAAAAACAGAGGCTGGAAAGAGAGTAGACAAAGAGAACGAAAAGAAAAAGAAGAAACGAAGAATGAAGGAGAGACAGACAGAAAGAAAGAAAGAAAGAAAGAAAGAGAGAGAGAATGGAAAGAGAGCTGAAATTGGTTACCTTCTAAAAATCATTTCTCGTGCCAAGGGCCGACGGGTCCCTGCTCGACCAGACCTGGCTGATTTCTCTCATTCTGGTCTACAGATCACCCACGCCCGCCTTTCTGTAATAAAATAAAAAAAAAGGATACGAACGATTGCAGTATTGATTAGGACGCGCATCGATTCTCGGATTGCTCAGTGTTCCGCGATGATGGTTATTTCGCGAATTGGATATTTTGTCCGGCTCCATCAATCGCTTATTACAATCCACAATTATTCAATGCTTACCGAATGGTTAAACGACCAACGAAATTGCCTGGCAAGCCGAATATTGCAAAATCACTGGGCGTGATTAATAAATATTGCCTCCTCTTTTTTTTCATTTCGTAATGGGAACTTACGCGGTAAAACGGGAAACGTGTTTGCCGCTTTGGACGGTAATTCCTCGGCCACCGGCGCGCGCGATTTTTATTTGCTTTCGGCGTTGATACGAGGATTCTAGTTCTCTGCGCGGGATATTAATAATTCCAAATTTTATCCGGGGGTCCGCGGCGTTCCGCGGCACGTAAATTGCAAATTCTTAGCGGAAATGCTTTGGATATTTGAACACCGCTTCCGCGTGAAATTGTAACGCCCGTGTGATGGGGTTCGTTGAAACGCGAGCTGAGAACCGCTGGTACGATTAATTCAGTTTATTTGCTTTCAGAAGTACTAGAACGTTTCATCGGAGTTTTAATAATAAATATGCATCGTTCGGATGTTTAGTGTTCTTGTAAGCCTAAGTTGAGAACCCCTGTTATGACTATTTTAGTTTATTTGGTTTCAGAAATACTTTAAATATTTAATCAGAGTTTTATAAGGGTGCATCGTTGGGATGTGTAGTATTCTTGGAAGCGCAAGTTGAGAACCCCTGACTTGATTATTTAAATTTACTTCTTGACAAAAATATTTTGAACATTTAAAGAAAATTGCGTGAAAGTGGGTAATAGGTAGTACGCACGTGGAGTCACATTTTTTGGTGTGCAAGTTGAGAAACACTGATTTAATTTCCGCAAACCTACATCAAAGTAAAAAATCTGCACTTTACCAAATCTCTGTATTTACCAGAATTTTGCTTCTACAAAAGAAAATTGAAAAAATTCCCGTGAAAGTCGTATAGGAATATTAAAACTTTTTAGCACCAGATACCCTGTAATATTATAAACAAATTAATCATGCTGCGTCTTCGGAACTTTTTCGACCCAATTGCTTTTTTATTTTCTAAGCAATATGCTTTTTTATGGTCTGACTTAAACACTGTTATTAAAAACTTATTACTGTTTTATACGTTGCCATATTTTCTAATAAGAGAAAAAATAAAAATAGAACAGCCAAGCCCGTAGAAATGACGGTTTACAAATTTCTGTTTTACATTGCAAATACTATCACTCTGCTTTTATTGGAATTTATTTTGACTACAGTAAAAATATGGGAAGAATTATAGTATGTATGACAATTTATTTCTAATTAACTACTTATGTCTTATGGTTCTGTGTACAAGATTCCTCATTACACCAAAATCCATCAATATGATCGATCAATATGCTGATTTTTCTACTGCCACGATGTATCGTACAAATGAGATACAATTTTTTCCTATTATTAACGTGAGCTATGTATACCAGTAATTAAACAGTTAAGGCTATGTGGACGGCATATTTATATCATAAGTTAACATAGATGTAGAAGTAAAAATAGAAATAAAGGAACAAAATAGAAGCAGAAATAGCAGTATAAATAGAGATAGAAATGCAAGTATAAATGGAAACGGAGATAGAAGTGAAATAAAAAAATAGAAGTAAAAATAGAAACAGAAGTAGGAGAAAGGTAATACAAGTAAAAATAGAAGTATGCGAAAGTAATACAAATAAAAATAGAAATAGAAGTAGGAGAAAGTAATACAAATAAAAGAAAGAAGTAAAACTATAAATAGAAACATACAAGTACAAATATTTACATACAGTGAAATATTTATAATCGTCTACATCAAAATATTCATATTAAATATTTACATTTACACAACCGTAACTGCTTAATTACTGATACATTTACCTCAGAAACAAACTGCGACGAAACGCAGCATGGTAAATTAATGAATCCAGACAATTACCAAGTCGCGTAAACGCTTCCCATCGGATGCCAGCGAACACTTGTCCAAGCACCGTTCGGCAAAGCTGGAAAATTTCTCCCTTCGCGGATTAGCCCGGCAGGAACGCGGGATAAAAACGTGTCCACGGTGGTTGAGAAGGGGTGCTCGAAGGGAGGGAGAACGCGAGAATAACTACACCGGCTCACGCCAACCGTGACTCAATGGCGGCGTGCACGCCACTTACGCTTAAACATCAGCCGACTCGATTCGCGGGCTAGGGAGGACGATTTCCGAACTGCGCGCCGGAAAATCGTGGCCCCCGCGGTCGGTCGGTCTGTCGGTCGGTCGGTTGGTCGGGCCGCGCGACTACTGCGCACAATCTTAAGGGTAGAGAGGCGTTCGATCGCAATCCGGTCCATGTGGTGTCAACCGCGATCCCCGGGGGTGAGGGGTCGAGGCCTGATCAATCTCTCGCTACGGCGGGACAAAGATCCCCTAACTTGTTAATCCCCGCGACGACGGGATTCTGGGTACTCCGTCGCGGACCTGACGATCGTTGTTTAACCAGTTAGCTGTCTGCCGAGTACAGTCGTCGCGAAGAATTTGCAAGATTTTCTGGTACGACGAGTATACTCGTCGCGAAGAATTTGCAAGATTTTCTGGTACGACGAGTATACTCGTCGCGAAGAATTTGCAAGATTTTCTGGTATGACGAGTATAGTCGACGCGAAGAATTTGCAAGATTTTTTGGTATGACGAGTATACTCGTCGCAAAGAATTTTCAAGATTCTGTATTGGGACGAATATATTCATCATGAAGAATTTACAAGGTTTTATGGTATGACGAGTGTACTCGTCATGAAGGAATGGCAAGGTTTTGTGTTATGATAAGTATACTTGTCGTGAAGGAATGGCAAGATTTTGTGTTGTGACGAGTATACTCGTCTAAGAACAGTTAATTGGTTAAGGGAATATTTATTTTTGAAACAACCGATGTGATTGGTATTGGTATTATTACATATAATTATTTGTAGATACACACTTTTCAAAGAGATCGCAACAAGTAACTGGTTAATAGTGAAAATTTTGCGTTCGTTTTCTAGTATCGTCCGATTAATCAATTTTTTAATTTTCGTCTTTCCTTTTCTTTCTGTTTCCACTAAAAAGAATTTATCATCTAACTTGTTTACCTTTATTTTGTGGCTGTTATTTAACTGATTACGATAAGAAAAGTGCAGGAACAGTTTGTATTAACCTATTAACCGTAGAATTTAGTCTCAAAAATCTCTCTGTGTAGGCACGATACTAAAATCAAACGATAATATGTATATTCTTCAAACGCAAGGTAAATTCATCGATAATATATAACGAAAGACTAAAGTGAAATAAAGAATTTCAAATTTACCTGAAAAAATAAATAATTCATCGTTGAACGAATTAGTATCACTTTGAGTTTTAAGATGACGTTACACGCATTAATACTCGTTAAACTCAATTAACTGGTTAATACTAAAACTACCAAACTTTTTATTATGGAAACGCTGAAAGTGTATTTCCTGAGATTTCAATTTATTTCTAAATCTGTTTGTATATTACGAAAACAATTTGTTCAATAATTGCTTAGGGAATAATTTGTTTTCATTTCAATATTGAAAAAAGGAGAAATCAGGAAGAAGTCATTCTGACAAGTCTGGTAGTTCTTTGCGAGAATATTTTTGAGAATTTCAAAGTAAAAACCCCGAATTTGTTTCCGAGATAATCGGCTCGGAAGGGTTTGTCAAACGCGTGCACATTAGTATTTACGTGAAGTAGAAACGGTAAGCCACGAACAGGCGCGTTGGCCGAGACCTATTCACCTGCGTCGCTAACTTTCGAACGTGATTATCTGAGAAACGAAGTGTCGCTAGAAAAAATTGTACTCCACACTTTCGACTTATTTTTTTGTTCTTTTTTTTGTACAGAATCAGAAACTTTGCAATTGCACTTCATTCTAGAAGCCCTCTATATAATTCGAATTAATTAGTGCCAAAATTATTCAAACAAAATGCTATTTTGGTACACTATTTTAAAAACTTAATATCGTAAATAAAGTTGTATACAAGCAGTTGAAAAGGAAATTGGTTATTTAATTCAAAGTAAAAGTATATTTCATTTTTGATCAAGTTGTCTGAATAAAGAGGGTGAATCGCGAAGTATATATAAAACATGTTTAACTACTTATTTAACTCAAGTAAAAATCACGAAAATTGTGTATTACGCCAAAAATCAGAAGCTTCAAATTTGACACATCAAAATATCAAATGCTTTAAATTCAACGAACCAAAAGTTAAAGGCTTCAGATTCGTTACATCAAAAATGAAAGGCTTCAAGTTCGTCACATCAAAAAAGTGAAATGCTCTAAATGTAACATACTAAAATTCAAACGCTTCAATTTCACCATGTCAAAAAATCAGAAGCTTCAAATTTGACACGCCAAAATGTCAAATGCTCCAGATTTAACGAACCAAAAATTAAAGGCTCTAAATTCGTCACATCAAACAGTGAAACGCTCCAAATGGTACGGTATCAAAATTCAAATGCTTTAATGTGAACACGCCAAAAAATAGTAAGCTTCAAATTTAACATTCACTTGATTGACAAATATTTTACATTCAACGAACCGAAAAATTAAAAGCCCTAAATTCGTCACATCAAACAGTGAAATACTGTAAATTAAACGCACCAAAAATCAAATGCTTTAAATTCAACGAACCAAAAAATGAAAAGCTTCGAATTTGCCGAAATTGATTTCACTGAATGTATTTCACGGCTGGACATATAACTGTGTCACCCACTTATGACTAACCTAACAGTCAAAGTGTTAAATATGTCAAGAGCTCTGGCGTGCTCGACAATGAACGAACGAAGCACAACTGATTGAAGCAATTAGAGGATACATCAGTCGAAACGATTCCCTCGACAAGCAATCCAGGAGTTTCAGGAGTCCTCGTAGGCACGTGTTGAACGGCGAAGCAGATCATCTGAACACAGAACAGGGAAAGAATGGACGGAGACTGGACATTCAACTGGTTCCTGAACTTCATTGTCCAAATCTGCTTTCCGTTTCACGTTCTATCGATCGTTTGGACACGGGCAGGGTTTCCTGATCCCGATTGGATATGAAGCAACAAACGGATACGGGGACGGAACAATCGTGGCTCGAGAAAGGCAACTGTCTATAAAGCTGTTCCTTTTGGAAACAGAAGCAGAGGAGAAAGCCAAATATAATCGGAGTGGAAATACATTTTTATTATAGCAATTAATATATTTATGGCAATGAGTAAGTAGAGTGCACATTTTTTCTTAGAACAACAGCATTAAATATTGTACAAATTAGAAGCAACTTATTTAATGAAATGGGAACTGAAGAATTGAGATATATTATTTAATCATTTCCTTATGAATTCTGGTAAAATTTCATTTAATTATTTCATTAACGTGGAAGTTCGTTTTTGGGTTTTAATGGATAATTGTTAATAACTGTCATTTGAAGATTAACATGGTAAAAGCGAAGTGGTAGAAAATTTGTTTGTCATGAGATACTGTTGTTTTAGTTATTAGTTTTATCGGTGTGAAATTTTGGAAATTAGTGGTCTTGCGTTTAAAAATTATTATTAAATGTTATACAAAATATTTTAATTAATAAAACTGTTTTCAAGTGAAAGAATACGATCACCCTTTGTCTGAAGTAGATTATCAAATAAAAATGGAGTTCTATTTTGAGTCTAAGACTATTTCAATCCAAATGAGAGAAATAATATTCAGATCTATAAAAAAATTCATTAGTATTCATTGAAATAAGGTATTACTATGTGGATACTTCAGATTACTAACACTTATGAAGTGGTTAGACCATATTTTAAAAGTCCTCGACTTCAGTAATTCATCGGCGAATGTATATTCAGTAAAATATATTCTAAATGTGTTTTTTTTCCTTTCTCATTAATTACCAGTGAACTATTCATATTTTTAAGTAAATTCAACAGTATCAGAACAATAAATCAAAACAGCAGTCTACAATCTCAATAAAACTCCACTTGGAACACTAAAAAACATCCTCAACACACATGTACACTTTTTATTTACAACCCTCCACAACGAAAGGTTGAAAACGTCCTCATCAAACAAGAACAGTGGAAGAAACCCTATTCAATCGAGTGTCTTAGAAACAATCAAACCCATGGATCAAATGAAAATTGCGGAATTGCTTGCCCCAGTGGTTCTCATCTAAGACACGAAGCAAAATTGAAAAAACAGAGAACCAAAATCAAATAATTCATGAAGAACAAGGAGAACAACAGCTTCCATTTTTAAGTTCCATGATTTTATTACTTGCACGATATTTCATCGAATATCAGAACCCAAAAATAAACTACAAAACTGAACCCAGAATGGACTCTTATAATAAATAGAAATAACAAAATTACTTATTCCAATGAATACTATCCAAGACACAAAACAAAATCCAAAAAATCAAAGAATCATAACAAAATAATCCGTAGAAACATGAAAAACAGCTCTCCTTTCCAAATTTCCAAATTTTGTCACATTCTGAGTGCAGAAAATAAGCTCCTATGACACATGAAAATTACAAAACTGTTTATATGGTGATTCTCATTTAACACGAAGCAAATTCCAAAAAACAAACAATCAAAATTAAACCAAACTAATTCCTATAAACTAGAAAAATGGCTTCCATGTCTGGGTTCCAATATTTTTTCACGAATCCGTCACGATATTTCATCCAATATCGAAACCCACAATGAACTCTACAACAAACGAAAATTACAAAAGTCCTTACCGCAGTGATTCTCATTTAACACAAAACAAATTCCAAAAAACAAACAATCAAAATTAAACCAGACTAATTCCTATAAATTAAAAAAATACAATATGAAGTCCCATAATGAACCCTTACAACAAATTATTATTATTAAAAATTACAAAACTGCTTATCCCAGTGATTCTCATTGAACACAAAACAAATTGCAAAAAACGAACGATCAAAATCAAACCAAACTAATCCGTATGAACTAAAAAAATAACTTCCATGTCTAAGTTCCAATATTTTTCCACGAATCCGTCACGATATTTCATCCGATATCAGGAACCCGAGATGAACTCCCAGAACCAGGCTCGCGAAATGGAACACAGGGCGGCTGGAAGAAAGAGACTCCGTGAAAAAAGGGTTCGCGAAGCATCTCTGAGGGAAGACAAATCTCCCGAC